CTCTTGCCACCAACACTTGGAGTTTCCACTGGTCCAAATAAATCCATGTGAATTAGATTCAAAGGACCAGTAGAGAGGTTTCCAGCAATGGGTTTGAACGAGTTCTTCACTTGTTTTCCTTTCTGGCATGCACTGCATAAGTTTTCCTTTTTGTATACAAGGTTGGGTAGACCTTCAACAATGTGATCTCTTGCTAGCTTGTTGATTGTTTTGAAATTCAAGTGACTCAGTTTCTTGTGCCATTCCCAACTGAGTTTTGAATCTCCTTTGGCTATCAGGCAAAATCCATCTTTTGCAGTTGACCAATCAACTACATAGATGTTTTTCTTCCTTGTTGCTGTTAGAACCACTTCCTTAGTTGTCTCATGCTTGACAGAACATCCTTCCTTGGAGAATTCAACTGTGTAGCCTTTGTCACAGAATTGGCTAGCACTCAGCAAGTTGAATTTCAATCCCTTGACATAAGAGAAATCATTAATGATTATCTGGTTCTTTATCAGCTTCCCTCTTCCTTTTGTCTGGCCATCTTTATCATTACCTCCAAAGGTAACTCTAGGCCCTTTGACTTTCTGGAACTCTGTTAGGCAACTCTTGTCACCTGTCATGTGCCTGGAGCATCCACTATCAATGTACCAATCTTGCTCAGAGATGGCTCCAGCACACAGTTCCTACAAAATTAAAAGGTAGATTTAGGTACCCAAGCAATGTTGGGTCCTAGGGGGTTATGCAGTCTTGGCAGCCGGTACCACTTTGGTCTCATCAAGTGAAACCTTGGTGGGTGGTACCCATTGTCCACCTGGTAGTCATAGTAAACGGAAGTGTGATTCACTTTGGGCAGATGCTTGTGCGGATCATGCTTCCGGTTTACATACTTCTGCATAGCCTTTTTAGTTGGGTAGAAGTCCCATATACTATCAAGATCAGAGGAGCGATTAACTTTGGGCTTCTTAAGTTGACCAGCCAACCTTTTCTGCCTAAAGTTAACTTTCTCTTGATATCTGCCTTTCTGGTGATCATCTCTGACACGATTATCATGAGTTTGTCTGTTATGGGTTTGTCTTTGATTTTTGGTATTCTGAAAACCTTTTCTGTTGTAAGGTTTTCTGCCAGGTTCATTAATTTTTAAAATGGGTTTCTGTTGAGCCTTTATCTTTTCCTTTTCTGGTCTGACATTCTCATGAATAACCTTGGTGCCAGATACACCAGCCTTACAAATGGGGCTAGACATCAGTGGCACTATGACCTTGTCTGCCTTAGCAACTCTGGTGTTAGGCATTACAGAAGGCTCACCTGATTCTGTTGAGCCATAACCAAGACCAAAACCAGTGCCAATTTGTTGGTCAAGTACAATCTTTTCCATGGAAGACTGGGCCTTCTGGTAAGCTTTGTACTTAATCTCAAGAGGCTCTATCTCTCTTATTCTCTTTAGAAGAGAAACATTTTCAGCTTCCAGTTGATCTCTTTCCTTAATTAGAAGATTGATTTTGATCTCAACCTCCTTTCTTAAGTCAAGGATTTCAACCTTAAGCTTACTGTTTTCTTCTTTAACAGAAGAATAAGTGGTTTGAATGGCTTGAAACTCTTCCCAAAATTCTGACATTGAATCAGAATCAAAGGCTCTGCCTACCGAGGAAAAACTAGAGTTGGAAGTAGAAGATACCTCATCATCAGATTGACCCATAAGGCATAGGTCTTCAGTTTCTGTATCCAGGCAACAGAATGCTTCATCAGATTCTAATTCCGAGCTGGACTCTGTCTCAGAGAGAGGGTCCTTCTTTTGTTGTTCAGTGATGAGTGCCTTCCTTCTTCGGTGCTCATATTTATTTTCTCCTTCCTGGCCTTGCCTTTTGGAGACTATGGGGTGTGGACAGTTGACTTTGAAGTGCCCTGGTTGTCTGCAGTTGTAGCAGAGAAGCTCTCCACTACTTTCTGATGGTTTGGACTTCTGGTGTGGCTTTCTGCTAGAGAGTGGACTTCTGCTATCCTTCGGCTTCAAGAATTTTCTGAACTTCCTAGCAAAAGCCGTCATATATTCGTCAGTTAAAAGAATAGAAGGGTCAAAATTATTTACCTGAGAGGTGCTAGCAGTGAGGGCAGTAGTTGTTCTATCCTCAACTTCTTCTTTCTCTTCTTCATTCATCTCAAACTCATAAGACTTGAGATCAGAGATGAGTTTCTCAGTGCTGTAGGTTCTGAGATCCTTGCTATCTCTCATGGCAGTGACCTTCATCTTCCATGGTGAAGGTAGGCCTCTGAGAACCTTTAAGTTGATCTCCTTGGGAGTAAGTTCCTTCCCATGTTCTGATATTTCTGCAGTGAGAGTGAGCAAGCGTGCATACATCTCAGTTATGCATTCTTTGGGTAGAAGTTTGAAATCTTCAAACTTCTTCATGGCAATAGTAAGTTTGTTGTCCTTTTCTTGCTCATCTCCAGCTTCTATCAGGGTAAGAGTATCCCAGATTTCCTTGGCAGATTTGCACTTCTTGATCCTTGTGAAGTGCTTGTCATCAATGGCCTTGTAGAGGATATCCTTGGCAATGTTGTCAAGGTTGTATTTCCTCCTCTCTTCATTGGACCACTCATGGCGTAGTTTGTTGATCATCTGGGGTTGACCACTACCAGTGATGTATTCTGGGTTGACCTTGGTGAACTCTGTGAAAGGTCCTGCATCAAGAACTTCCCACATTTCGTCATGGAGTGCGCAGAGGTGAGCTTTCATGCGGATCCTCCAGTCATCAAACTTTGTTACTGAGAACATAAGATTCTTTGAAAGAGTGTTATCCATAATATGAGATTAAAGAGGCTAAAACAAGTGGATCTCTTGTTTAGTAAGTAACCTAAGAGATTACAAGAACAAGGAGGCTCTGATACCACTTGTTGGTCCCGTTGGTAATGGGAACAGTCTAGAGGGGGGGGGTGAATAGACTGTTCAGGAATTTAAACTTTTCTCTAAGTCAAGTCTGACTTATCAGAGATGGTCGAAATCTGGTGACAGAGATGGTCAAGTTCTGATGGCAGAACTAGACCAGGCAACGGATAAGTTTCTGTCCGGGTAGCCTCTAGAAGAAAACTAAGGCAAAATGCCTTTCTGGTAACTCTGAAGGAAGATCTGCTGGACACAGAGTCCAACCTTAAGAGTTAGTCAGTAGAATCTTAAGTGCAGGAAATAAAAGCTAAAAGTAAATGACACCGGGGTTTTTATAGTGGTTCAAGGAACAACTTGTTCCTCTAGTCCACTGTTCCACTAAGCTTGCAAAAACAAGAGTTTACAACGCCTTAGTCCCTAGAGCTTAAGAAGCACTCCTCGTCTTCTTCAAGTCTAGTTGCCACCCGGGATGCAGTCCTGCTTCCTGATGGCTGGTCTCGTTTCATTGAGTCTCTTGAAGTATCCCCACTTCACTTACTCCAGCTAGTTTGAGACGTCCCTTCTTTTTCAAGAAGTGTTTGATATAAAATCAGTTTTCTCCAACGTTGCTTCTTCACAAAGGATGAGTATATGAAGCTCTCGAAGTGTTGAAGAACTGAGTAACTTTGCAGTTTGCTAGTTGGATGAAGGATAAGAAAATATATCTTCCAACTGGAGCCTTTTCTTGTCTAAGAATGATGTTTGAATCTCAAGAAGGTTGTTTACGCAACGTTATCTTTGCAAAGTTATCTTCTTAGTTCTTCAGAGTGTATCTTATATACTGGGAGCAGTCTTCCCGTTGGAGTGTAGAAGACAGCTTCATTAATTGCATGTACTGTTGACTTGACCGGTTGGACCTTCGACTTGCTATTTTGGGGGCGTAAAGATACTCGCATGGTCAATCATCAGCTTTAAATATCTCTTCGTACGTACAGCATTAAATGTGCATTTAATGCGTGTACAGTGCCATGTTTCCGTTGAAAGGTTCGTAACCGTTAGGGGATTTCCCGTTAGTTTAACGACCGTTGGAAAGGCTTCCGGAATCTGGTTGATTTAGTAGAGTCTAAAGAGGTTCTCTGGTCCAATCTCTGAAGTCCGTCTCTGTTGCCAATTCTGGTATCTTTCTGATGACCAGTTTCTGATGGCTACTCTGGTGAGCAACTCTGGGAGCAACTCTGGTAGAGGCAAGATGGAACTCTGGCAGACAGACTAGGCTAAAACTTACAAAAGAAATTCTAATACACAATTTCTAATGGGGTACTTTCAAATTCTAATTAACCTAGCATCATCAAAATCTAAATACAATTAATCCTTACAGAATACAATAGCCATCGCCTATCAACACGCTCCCCATTTCGTAGAATCCTTTGGTAATGTGATGCATGAAAGTGTCTTTTGGCATTATCTTTCGGAAATATGATATGCGAAACTCTTTTTGGGCCTCTCTCCACTAAAAAGTCAATAAGCTTCTGGTCAATCTTATCCCACTTTCCGGGATCATCAAAAGAAGCCTCAATTGTAGGGAGATGAACTTCCTCATTCTCATTTAAATCAGTATCATCAAATTCATCACCCTCAATTTGATCTTTCTCAAGCTCCGTCACAGTTTCATTTTTTTCAGAATCAGTCCTATCCTCATTCATCACATTTTCAAGTGTATCTTCACTATTTAGAGGCTCAATAGTAGGCAATTTGCTAGTATTGAAATATTTATTAATATCTCCTGTCTGACTTTGAATTAATGCTTCTACTCTTGATTTCCTTTTCCTTTTTTAAGCCCCAGACATATGTTTTGGGCACATGATTCTAGACTAAAAATTATAGGTATTAATAATTATAACTTGAAGAATAATAAGCACAAATGATTTAATTATTCTTAAACTAAAATTTATGAGTTAAATGTTTGGATAATGATGAATTGATGATGAATGTTGAATCGTATGGTCTCAAAACTCAAAAGTCAAAACAAATATAATCCAATAGCAATTCCCCTAAACTCTAGACCTCTAGTCTTCAATTAGCATTTAGGCATTTAGCAACGATGAACGCTGATTTCAGAATTAAGAACAAATTGCAAAATATCTACAATTCTAACCTGGGAAGTGGGAGGTTCTGGTCTTCTGGAGTTCTGGGCTAGAAGAGTCGCAGGGCTGCACGGGCGCACGGCTGGGAGATTCTCAAAGCTGCGAAGTCCGAACTGTGAACGTCCAGAGCAAGCGGAAGATGGTCAATCGGTTATTGTAGATATCTGCTAATCAAGGGCAATTCAAATTGGGCCTAGTATGCTATGGGTATATTTACAAAGGGAGCTAATATTTTTCTGGGCCCTAAATTTTTGCAAAAATAATGGGCCTGAGGCAGTTGCCTCTTTGCCTCTTATGTAGGTTCGGCCCTGGATATAGGGCCACAATATCTTGCTTCTTTGAACTCCAAGTGATTGCTCCATATCCTAGATCATACACTGAGCCTGACGTACTCTTCCTATCATCAATGCAACCTGCCCAATCACTATTTGTATAGCCTTGTAATGAAAAATGCTTCACATTTTCATACAAGATACCACAATCCAATGTGACAGCCACATATTTTAGAATTCTTCTTGTTTCTTCAAGATGATGCTTTGTAGGAGAGTGCATATACCTGGAAACAACACTCAGACTATATGCAATATCTGGCCTGGTGTTTGTGAGATAATTCAGACCACCTACCATGCTCCTATAAAGCCTTTCATTAGTATATTCTCTTCCATCATTCTTCTGCAGCTTCTCACTTGTATACATAGGTGTTTTAGCTGTTTCACACCCCTCCCTATGAAACCTTTTAAGCAGATCAGTAACAAACTTTCTTTGGCATAAGAAAGTTCTTGTTTTACCTTGTTTAACTTCTAATACAAGAAAATACTTCAAAATACCTGAGTCAGTCATCTCAAATTCCTTTTGCATGGAATTTTGAAACCCTTGTACCAGCTTATGTGAAGAACTGAAACATATGATATCATCTACATAAGGGTAGACTATTATGTAGTCAGACATACCTTTCTTCTTCACAAACAATGTAGGCTCATTTTCACTTCTCTTGAACTCATAACTAATAAAGAATGAGTCAATTTTGTTGTACCATGCTTTTGGTGCCTACTTTAGACCATAAAGAGCTTTTCTCAGTTTCTACACCTTGTCTTGTTCTCCTTTCTTCTCAAATCCTTGGGGCTGCTCTACAAATACCTCTTCATTAAGCTCACCATTCAAAAAGGCTGACTTTACATCCAGTTGATACACGGGCAAAGTCCTTTGAGCAGCCACAGCTAGTACAACTCTCAAAGTCTCAAACAATGCCACAGGGGATAAGGTTTCCTCATAGTCTATGCCTTGCTTTTGTGCATAACCTTTTGCCACTAATCGTGCCTTGAGATTTGAGATGCTTCCATCTGAGTTGTACTTTATTCTGTACACCCGCTTTGACCCTATCACATTTTCTTCACCAGGCAGATTCACCAGCTCCCATGTATCATTCCTCTATATAGAATTGACCTTTTCTTTCATGGCTTGCTGCCATTCATCATAAGTAACAGCCTCCTCAAATTCTGCAGGTTCACTAGCAAGAAGAGCAAGATCACAGGATTCATAAATATCAATGAGGGATATTACTCTTGCTGGAGGTGATTCAGTGCTTGGTGTTGAGTGAGATGATGGTGAATTCTGACTACTTGAGGGCGGTGATGAGCATTGAGGTGTTGATGGTGGACTTGGCTGAACTGGTGCCTTAGTTGGTTCTTGAAATTCTTCCAGACTCATGGTTCTTTGCATGCCCTCACTATCTTGATTATGTTGCTTCCAATACCAGCATGAGTCCTCATCAAAGATAACATTTCTTCAATGATTATCTTGCTAGTAAGAGGGTTATATAACCTATATGCCTTGGACTGAGTAGAATATCCAATAAAGATGCACTTCTCGGCCTTATCATCTAGCTTAGCTCTCATGTTGATAAGAGTATAAGCTATATCACTAGTAGAAAATTGGCTTACAATGACACTTTTATAGTGACACTTTCTAATATATTGAAACTAGTAACACAAAGGTGTCACTATTTTCTATACAAATAAATTAGTGACACTCAAACATTTTTTATGGAGTATATTTGGACGCACGCCTAACTCTTCTACTTATGGGCCGGTCTACAAAGTTAATATACATAGCAATATTTCCTCTCCCGCTTCACACTAACATCGGCTCTTTCCTCCGATCCTCTCTTTGTACGAACCCTAGCTGTTGCACGATTCTCCATCTCCTCTATCGATTGATTGTGGGCTATCTTGTCTCTGTTGTGCGACTCTTCATCTCCTAGCTAGGTCTTCTTCATGAGCGATTGTCGTCCATTTCAGGTATGTAAATTATCCTTCATCTCCTCCCGAGGTCATCCTTCAATTCTATCATCTAATTTGGTTTAGGTTTTATCGGAAATCGATTAGCCCCACTTATAATCTTCTAATTGCATCTGTCCATTTTTGTTTCTATAATTCCTTGTCTTGGTGGTTGGGTTGACATGGAAAACGATTAGCTTCACTGGTTGGGTTGCCATGGAAATAATGAACATGTTAGTTCGCACCAGGAAGAAGATGGACGAACAGTACTTCCGTGTACTGTTCATAAACAAGAGATGGTTCCAGAAAAACAGTACTGCCAAATGAAAAACAGAACAGTCTCTCCCAGACTTGGCTCTATGTTATTTTGTGAAAAAAAATCTGGAATGCCTTAAAATCTGCATTGAAAAGACTGAAAAATTCTTTTCTAATTTGTTTGCTTTTAGCACAATAGTTTGGTTATGTTGCTGTAATCTTATATTTATTCGACTTGTGAAGTTGTGTTTTGTGCACACATGTGTAGATTTCCTTTCATAATCAAATCATATGTGCCAGGTATGGAGCGGGGTTAACGCCTCTCAAGTCTCACCTTGATGTGGTTAGCTAATATTTCTCCTCCTCTTTTGTTTGCTTTTCTTTCTATTTCATTTCCAGGGTATGAATGAAAGAGATGTTTGGGGCTGGTTCTCATATGCAATGAAGTACTTCTCCATCCCTCGAGGTATGAATACTCTTCCTTGCTGTCTAAAAAACTGAAGCGCTCTATATGTTTGTGAATTTGTCTCATTGAATTGTTTGTTTGGTCAAGTTTCTTTTATTTCGTTTTTTCCATGTACCAAAGAGGCCAATTTAAGAATATGTTGATTAGCTTTTTTTTCTTTCTCAAGAACAGAATGCATTATATTTCTGTAAAAAATATTGTCACGGCAAGTTTCTCTCTCGAAATTTACACAAACTATAATGAATACAAGTATTCAAAAATTTGGGGTATGTGATTTGTATGTGTATTTTAACTGTGTATGTTGCAATGCTGATTGCTGAAGATAGGGGTGTTCATTAGTTTAAATGCTTCTTCCAATATGAATTGAATTTCTCCATCACCAAATCCAGCCATGGTTTCATCGGCCCATCAAAATGTATAACCGCTGCCCTCTCAATCTCAGCTTTCTCCCTGCTGCTGGAGTCATCATAGCCTAACCCAAGGAGATTCCATCTTTTGTCTAGCGCCAATGTTTGATTGTAAAAGGTTATCCAACCTATTGGCAAACTACCAGCTTTCAATATCGGATTATTGCTTCCCAGCTGCACGTACTCATGATAGACTCCGGTTAAATTTAACATCCTCCATTGTTGCAGATCAAACAAATTCATCCCAAATGCCCATGTGCATGTTTCCGTATCAAACTTCTTTGCCATGTTGGGGTCGGTGAAGTTGACAAACACATCCATCCGGCTGAATGAAGGGTCTCCTTGTTCACAGGTCTGTACAACTCCATTAACTTTACCCCTCATGGAATGAATATGTTGATTAGCTTATAACAACACTATATCTATTAGCCTTTTAATTTATTTCCTTTTCAACCTCAAGCACACTTTAATCTTTTATTCAAAAAACTATGAAAGACATTGCATCGGATGTGAAACTCTTGAAACAATAAAATGTCAGTCAATTGGAATCCTTGTTTTTTATTATTTCTGTACTTTCAAATATGTGCTAATATAACTTGTAATTTTTTATTGAAGTTCTCTAAAATAAAGGAGTACACTGACGCTGATATTTTGGAAATACGTGAGGAGTGGGCTTCATATGCAGCTAGTTTGATAACAAGTAAGTTTATAGTTCAAAAGTGAAGAACATAAGTTTGGTACAATACATATGGATGTTAGTTAGGCATACTTACGAAGTTTGGTTGCACAAGCTTAATGATACGTTTTTCATGTTAGTTATATATGGTGTATCTGTCATTTTACAGTGTCGATGAAAGGTGCTGCCATGAAGAAATGATAATGTGAAGCTGTGCGATGTGTTACGAATTGTTATTGACGTTTCCAACAAACTTTGCTATATGTATATATGTACGACGTTTAGGCAGCTCACTTTTTGGACAAAACTATGTAGTTGCTTAGAATTTTATTAACCAATGATTAGATGTGTTGGATCATGCTGGGTTTTTTATCATATTTTGTCCAGCATGGCTAAAATATTCCTGGTTTTTGCATGCCTAGAATGCAATTTTCAACAACAATGTAGTTTGGAGTGATTATATTATTAATTATTTCTCTATGTTTTGAGATTTGTTGACTTGATTATTGTTTATGAGATTAGTAATTGTACTGAATTGGAAGTTTTAAAATATAATTAAAATGGAATTTCTAAATTATAATTGAATTGGGGTCTGGAAGCAATGCAAAACAAAGTGATACTTTAGTGTCACTAGAGTATATGATGTAAAAGTGTCGCTGAATAGCTATGTCGCCAATGTGTCACTATATTGTGATATCGTAGTGTCACAGTTATGTGACACTTGTAGTGACACTTAAAAAGTGTCACTTGTAGTGTCACTAGCCCCCACTTTCAGTGACACTTTTTTAGTGTCACAGAAACATTCAGTGACACTAATTTAGTGTCACTGACGAGCACTTTGTCACGGTGCGTCAAAATAATTTCAATACTAAACACTTATACGTAGTATAGCGTAGTAGAGTTCGTATCCACATGGAAATGAATAATTCTCTTTTTATGATACTTAGTAAATAAAGGGGGGGATTTGGATTGAGTGATTTAATTTATTTAAGAACTAAGATGAACAATCTATCTGTGTTTAATTCAAAGATAAAAAAGACTTGGCATTGCTACTTTCCACTTGTTGATATATTTTAGTCGATCATTGTTATATCTATAACTTATTCCCTCTCGAATATTCAATCGGGGAGTATATCCACTTCATCGAGGGTAGTTATTAACAACGACCGTTCATTAATAACCCTTACTATTAATCAAATATA